GAGAAAACTCGTCGTGCTGCGTCAATTCGGGAGACAATGTCATCTTTACTCTTTCCATTGGGCAGCAGCCTCGCTCCGAGATATTTGAAACTGTCGACTTCTTCAAGTTGACTGCCACTTATCTCGAGAGGTGCCTTCTCTTCTGCAGGGATGCAGCATAAAAGCACATTGGTCTTCCCAGCGTTTATCGACAAACCGACCGATTTCGCGACCACGTTTACTCGGGACACCATAGACTGTAGATCGCCAAAGCTTGAAGCTAATAAAACGATATCATCGGCATCATCGAGGTTAGTCAACCGGCACCCGGGTGCAAGCTCAATACCGTCATTTTCCTCTAGTGCCTTCCCGAGAACCCAGTCTATGACGTAGTTAAAGAGGATGGGCGACAGGACACAGCCTTGTCGAACGCCAGACCGAATATCAAAAGGTTCTGAGAGGTTGTTGTGGACTAGAACCCGCGCAGTGGTGGAGCTTTGATCATGGCGATTATTTTTGGTGGTACATCATCAACTGCCATTATCCGCCATAGGGAGTCATGATGGACGGAGTCGAACGCAGCGGCAAAGTCGACAAAGCAGATGGCCGTTGGTTATTGGTAGCTCTGTCAGAATTCAAGGATCCGTCTCAGTGTGAATATCTGATCCACACATTCACACCCAGCGTGGCATCCGGCCTAGTTGGGTTGCGTCCTGTAGTTGCGCACAGACTGGAACCGCTTGAAGAGAACAATAGCGAAATGCTTCGTGGCAATGCCGATGAGGCTTATACCGCGATATTTCTCACATTTTGCCTTATCTTCCTTCTTATGGACAGGCACAAGGATGCTTGAGCCCCAGTCATCAGGAACGGCCTCTTCTCTTCATGCTTGTCCAATCACCTCATAGAGCTAAGGTTCCAGAGTGTCGGCACAAGACTTGTAGATTTCAGCGGGTATGCCGCCCTCTCCAGGTGCCTTATTGTTGCGCAGCCTTTTTATGGCGTCAGCGATTTCTACTTTAGAAGGCCCTGGATAAGTGAGAGATGGAGGAGGCTGTGTTGTAGATGGGAGCAGGGAGGCGGTAGGCTCCGTATAAAAGTTGAGGAGGTGCTCGAAGTGCTCACGCCAGCGTTCGACCTTGGTCATGTTGTCAGCAATAAAGCCGCCACTTACATCACGAACTGAGTCGCACGGTGAAGACAGCTTAACACTAGCCTGGCAAATAAGTTGGTAGGGCTTTCGAGTGTCGCCAACGTTCGAGGCCTGCTCCATGGAGGTTGTTATTTCAGCCCAGTATTTCTTCCGGTCCTCCCTGGCCGATTTGGCTGTCATATTTCTTATTTGGCGGAAAGAATCATCATTACGGCAACTAGATCGGGGTATCTCCGCAGAGAACTGCAGAGTTCGTCCGCTGATCCAATCATTGTAGCGCCGCTGGGTGCATCCAATCATTTTCTCAGCTGCCCCATACACTGACGTTTTCAGAGAGGACCACAGGCTATTCACTTCTCCGGCGGATCGGGTCATGAAACAGGACCGGATTTCTCTGCTCAGGGCCTCAGCGGTGTTGGATTGCCGGATTTTAGCGACATCAAGGCGTCGAGCGTGTGGAATTTTTGGCGCAGATTAGAGGTGAGCTTTGAAGCGTGTGCGAACAAGAATGTGATCAGATCCATAGGCACTACCAGTATCGGCACCGCGCAGCGACCGACTATCGTAAACCCAGCTGCGGAATCTTGAGCTGACTAAAATGTAATCAATCTGACCGGCCGTATGGCCGTCGTTGGAGTACGGGGTCAGCAAGTGTTTGCGGTGTTGGAAGCACGTGTTCCTTACAAACAGTTGGTTCCGTTCAGCAAAATTCAGCAATCTGTCACCATTCTCACATCTAGAACCAAGCCCAAAGTGGCCGATAAGATGGCTGTTTGTGGAGTCACCCGGCCCATTTCGGCCATTCCAATCCCCGGCAACAATCAACAGATCGTA